AAATAATGATATTATGCCATTAACAAAGCTAAAACTTACCTTTTAAAGATCTAGTTCCCATCTTTAAAAGTGTCTTGCTTACAATGCAAGACTTCTAGAGTTCAAGGTAATCTCAGAGTTCTTATTAATACAGCTAGGGTAACTTCTTTCTTTCTTTCTTTTTTCTTTTTTTTTTTAGAGAGTCTTTGTTGTCCTTGGTAGAGCACTGTGGCGTCATTGCTCACAGCAACCTCCAGCTCTTGGGCTTAGGCGATTCTCTTGCCTCAGCCTCCCGAATAGCTAGGGCTATAGGTGCCTACCACAATGCCCAGCTATTTTTTGTTGCCAGGGCCAGGTTTGAATCCACACTGTTGGTATATGGACCAGTGCCCTACTCACTGAACCATAGACACTACCCAGCTATAGTAATTTCTGAGGCTATTTCATTTTTTTCTTTTTTCTGTTTTTTGAGACAGAGCCTCAAGCTGTCCCCTGGGGTAGAGTGCTGTGGCATCCCAGCTCACAGCAACCTCCAACTCCTGGGCTCAAGCGAGTCTCCTGCCTCAGCCTCCTAAGTAGCTGGGACCACAGGTGCCCACCACAACGCCTGGCTATTTTTTGGTTGCAGCTGTTATTGTTGTTGGGCCTGGGCTTGATTTGAACCTGCCATCTTAGGTATATGTGGCTGGCACCTTAGCCACTTGAGCCACAGGCGCTGAGCCTCTGAGGCTATTTCAAAGAATACCTCTTAAGGCTTGGTGCCTGTACTCAGTGGTTAGGGTGCCGGCCACATGCACTGGGGCTGGTGGATTCGAACCCAGCCTGGGCCTGCTAAACAACAATGACAATGACAGTGACAACAACAAAAAAATAGCTGGGCATTGTGGTGGGCGCCAGTAGTCCCAGCTACTTGGGAGGCTAAGGCAAGAGAATTGCTTAAGCCAAGAGTTTGAGGTTTCTGTGAGCTGTGACACCATAGCACTCTACTGAGGGCGACAAGGTGAGACTCTGTCTCAATAAATAAATAAATAAATAACCCAACCAAATAAAGAATACTCTTAAGAAGTTAGATTATAGGAAATCCATAACTTATTACCTATACACTAAGGAGGAAAATATCAGCCTTTCAAAGTAAAGAAAGCTAGAATTGCTGTTAGCTCTCGCTTATCCATGATATTAAGGAAAAAGAAAGCTATTGTATCAACTGTGAAACCCAGAGTGAGTTCCAAACACCTTTTCAGTTATAAGGATCCCCAAACCTATTGTTTCACCAAATATTCACTGGAGCTGTTGACATGTAGCCACATGTTTTAAGTCTGGGTCTTTTTCCTTTCTTTTTATTTTATTTTTTATTTTTTTTTTTGTAGACAGAGCCTTAAGCTATCCCCCTGGTAGAGTGCCCTGGCATCAGAGCTCATCACAACCTCCAGCTCCTGGGCTCAAGCGAGTCTCCTGCCTCAGCCTCCCAAGCAGCTGGGACCACAGGCACTGCCCACAACACCCGGCTATTTTTTGGTTTCAGCTGTCATCGCCCAGGCTGGATTCGAACCCGCCATCTTAGGTGTACGTGGCTGGTGCCCTAGCCACTTGAGCCACAGGCGTCGAGCCTCTTTTTCCTTTCTCTTGCCCTCCCTCCCGTGGAGGTGTTAATGAGTGAATTGCCAAAGATGGGCAGCTAAAGAGAACACTAAGGGTTCCCAATTACAACCATTAGCCTTTGGAATGGAGAATGGCTGGGTATTGGCTTCTGCTTTCCAATTGCCTAGAGGGCGCCAGGCAGACCTTGGTCTATTCAGAATGTATTGAAATGAGAGTATATATTTATTAAAATGCACAGGGTGGGCAGCACCTGTGGCTCAGTGGGTAGGGCGCTGGCCCCATATACTGAGGGTGGTGAGTTCGAACTTGACCACGGTCAAACTGCAACAAAAAAATAGCTGGGTGTTGTGGCGAGCCTCTGTAGTCCCAGCTACTTGGGAGGCTGAGGCATGATAATTGCCTAAGCCCAGGAGTTGGAGGTGGCCGTGAGCTGTGTGATGCCATGGCAGCACTCTACCAAGGGTGATAAAGTGAGACTCTGTCTCTACAAACAACAACAACAAAAAACCCCACAGGATGCCAAAAATGTATATACATTTTTAAGAAAAGAAAAAAGTGTGGCTTGGCGCCTGTGGCTCAAGTGGCTAAGGCACCAGCCATATACACCTAAAATGGCGGGTTCGAATTCAGCCTGGCCAGCCAAACAACGACAGCTGCAACCAAAAAATAGCCAGGCGTTGTGGCAGGCGCCTGTGGTCCCAGCTACTTGGGAGGCAGAGGCAGGAGACT